CCCAATACTTTATTTCTTGCTCAAAGTTTTATCAAAGTTGGTTACTGGAAATTCTTTGTTAGCTTCTGTCCATTTCACCTAGCATTCTTGTTATGTTCCTTATTTTTTTATTTGGTTTCCTTTAGTTCTTTCTTTCTTTCTTGAAATATAGGATACTCAAGACTTATTTATGTATTTTTTACACCATATCTTATAAAAAGCAACTTTCCTAACTAGTTTTAGTTTTTTTAAAGTAGAAAATGATATTAGAAACCAAAATCTTCAAACTTTGTATGCTGGTTTGTGCTGGGATACAGTAGAAGCCGTATCAGTTGACAGAGTAATGAAGCATAAACAACAATGAAATGGGTATGTTTATACCTAAGATACACACGTGTATAAATATTTCTCATTTCTCATTGATCTATATTTGGTCAACAATGAGCTTATACTGAAGTCTTGACCTATAGGACACTACCATTTGTATCATCCTGTCCTCTCCCCTTGCTTATCTGTGACTTTCCACTCCAGCAATGATAAACCCAGACCCGGCCATCCACCACCCATTGACTTCATTGTTCAATTCCAGTATGCGTGTATATTGTTTTCAAAACTGCCAATGGGAAACTATATTATTAACTAGATTTCAATGTTTAAGGACAGTATTGTTGGCTTTTAGTTTTGCTGACCTGTTTCCAAAGTTATTTAGGTTATTTACTTTTTTCTACCCTACTAAGTGAGGTTGTTTTTCCCATTGGTAATACAGTTAGATCATTTTTCATATAAATGTGTATACATACAGTTATATTCTTTTTCACATATTATACATGTATTCTTCATTTAGTATTGACCATCTGTCCTTCTAAATGATGTTTTAGTTTATAAAAAGATGACCCAAACTCTGTGCTATAAAATTCTGTATCATTTTGATGAGCACACATCATGCACCCTCCATTATAGTTGCATACACAGTAGTTTTGCCACCCTACAAAATGTCCTTTTCTTCATTTACCCATTCAACCAACCCCCTGACGTCAGTCTCCAGCAATCACTGATATGTTTACAGTCTCTAGAGTTCTTTCCATCCCAGAATGTCATATAAATGGAATCATATAATATATAGCCTATTCAGACTAGCTTCTTTCAATATATATAAATATATATAGGATCCATCTATTTGTTCTTGTGACTTGATAGTTTTATTACTGGATATTATCCTATTATATAGATATTACACTGTTTATACATTGTTATTGAAGAACATCTGTATTACTTTGTTTTTGCTTATCATTAATATAATTCCTATAAACATTCATATGGAACCTTTTATATGGATATAAGTTTTTAAATCAGATAGGTAAATGCCTAGGATTGAAACTCCTTGATCAAATGGCAAGACTGCAGTTTTGTAAGCATCTCCCCAACTATCTTTCATGGTGATTGCAGCATTTTACATTTTCAGGATCAAGGATTAAATGTTCCTATTGTTCCTTAGAGGCAGGAGAGAAACAGGACTCAGTAAACATCTCCTGATCTGGGTTTATCCCTTAACTATGTATCCATCTCCAGAACCAAGCAAATCAAGAGCAAGGAATGTCTGGACCCTAATCACTAAAGATTCCCTATTACCTTGTTAGGGACTTCCCCAAGGTACCCACCTGCCCAGAACAGCCTAAAGAGAGTGGCATATGCCCCTGGTAGGACAATGTTCGTGAGCAATACCACCATTTTGAGTATGATATGTATGTGTAGGGGAGGCTACAAAACAAATAACAGTCTATGCTTAAAACAGAAAACTGGATACAAATCTAAACATTAAGTGAGGGGAAGGAGCCAGATCTTCAGGGCAGCTGCAAATCAAAGGGTAAACCACCACTCTTCCCCAACAGATAACCACCTGCCTTTCCAGCCAGTTCACTCCCTGGGAAGCCATTGGGTAGAACCACTTTCCACTGTGCTATCTTCCAGTGTTCATTCACGATTCCCCAATAAACCTTATCTGGAATTGTATTTTGGCTTCTCAATTGTTTGCAAGCAAGCTTAAGAATCTGGAATTCATAACACAACATTCTCACCAATATTTGGCACTGTTTTTATGAATTTTTGCTTTGTTTTCTATTTTAGCCATTTTGAGATGTGTAGTGTTAGCTCTTTAATCATGTATCTATTTTTAGTATGAGGCTATAGGTCCTTGGGCAAGTTGACAACCTTTCATTAATAAAATAGCCACTTTGAGAACACGGGGTTCTGTACAAGTTTCTTTTATATTTCTTAAATACACTGAAGACAATCCATCTACACACACACACACACACACACACACACATTTTCTTCAATCAGTCTTTGCTGGTTCAAACCACAGGAGCAACATAAGATGTGCTCAGAATCTACAGCATAATTATGCTCATTTTCAGAGAAAGCATTCCACTCAACGTGCAAATAAGCCCTATCATGTGTACTCAGATACAAGAGCAACAACCAAAGAATATGAAATAACAAAAACAGTGAGCTGAATATTAAATGTAAGTATCATTCAGTTAAGAACAGAAGATCAACTTTACTTCCAGTAAAGGATGTTAAAAGTGAAGGTGAAAGATTTTGATACAATTATTCTTGAAAACAGATCATTGCTAATATCAATGTTTAAGAATCTATAACAGAGATGAAATTAACCCATTTTAAAAAATAACTGATACACTTGATCCATATTAAAGGCAAGTATGATGACTAAAGATTACATTCCATGTAACCATTAGAAACATCCTTTTGATTTTAACTTTTCTTTCTGCTTTTCCTATCACATTTAAATGCCACTCACAACCAAACTCAGTGTAATTATTACTATCTTTCAGTGTTTTATTTACTCCAGGCAAAGAAGATGAAGCTGATTCCATTGCAAACCTGAAATCTAGTCATCATGGACCCTGCCTCTGTTTGAGTGGTTTTTCTATTTCCATACCAGAGAGAAATATATCTTTTGCAGTGACTGTTTGGACAGTGTTTGCCCAGTCCAAGAAAACAGCATTTGGAGGTATTATTGCTCAAAGGCTACCACTCCCCATCCATCTGACACTGGCAGATTAATAAGTGGAAACACTGGAACCCAGTTAAATTTCTATTTTAGATAAAATTAAATAAAACATCACATAGAACATAATAGAACTAAAAAACCATCTGTGTGTGATGAAATTCAAACCTGATTAGATGCCTTTCATTTTATCTTTCATCATTTATCAGTATATGAGTTCAAGAGGAGAAAAACATTATAAAAGAAATAGATTGACATCAGCAAGGAAGATAGTAATAATGCAAAGAAAGGAAAAACCTAAGATAGAAGAAAATATCTGAAGATTTTTTTCTTTTTTAAGCAACCATAATATTGATGAGCCACATCCATTTAACTTTTAAAGGGTTGAAATTATTTCCCTTTTCATGTCAGAGATACCAGCTTACAGAGACCTCATGCTAACAGTCATGTTTCTGATTAATCCGGTTTTACCTATAAATACTATATCTCACATTTAATACAAATAATATGATTTGGTTTGTTGTTTTGAAGTAATTTAATTGCTAACATTACATGAGGAAGGGAATTATGATATATTTTAAAAAGCATTTAAAATATAAGTATGTTGTAGGTATTACATTTCAATATGTGTAATTCATATGATTAAAATATTAAACTTATATCTGTATATAAAAATTGTCTAGATTTCAAACAAGGTTTTGAAGCAAAATCTGTAAGGTAAAGTAACTTTTTTGACTCTCAGAAAGACTACACATAGTTCAAGTACACCAGGGTTATTTTACAGATCCTGAAACATCTACAAAGACTGAAGAACAACTCTTGCAAAATTACAATCCAAAATCTGGTTCTAAAAGGGATTTACACTTACTTATTCCGCATTGGTTTTAGCTACCTGCCCTTATTTAAAGCATTCAGTTTATTCACGATACACAATACAGGAAAAGTTAAGTTGTTTGGAAATTGTTAGGAGAATGAATTTCTTCAAATATATTTAGCATAGTTCAAGAATTCGTTGAATATCATATAAAAGTTAAGCATATTTGTAGTGATATATAAGTAATATGAATGTCCTAATCTTTATTTAGGTATATATTCTATATTATACATGGTTTCAAAAATAGAATTGTATCTTATTGTCTTCACATGGATATATATGTTACATATTTATGTCCAGTATTTGCTAGAGTACTGAATAATCTTATATGCTTAAATGGATATATTGGCACAAAGAATTAAAATATGTTTATAAATAAGAACAATCTTTTGTTATTGTAAAATTATCAGCATTTCTATTCTAGATGCTCTCTTACCTTACACAATTCCTAATTTTATTCAACAAAAAGGCACTGATTAAATACAATCAAGCTGTAAATGTTACCCTCACAGCCACAATTTCTCTTCACTTTAAAATGAAGCCAAATAAACTCTGACACATTACATTTTAATTACATTATTACTCCAAAGAATGTAAACTGCTTTTGCAGAATAAAAGATCTAATTTACACCCAAGATATAGAACAATGAGTTTGACCAAAAAACTCAGGGAAGCTGAGACCAACAAGAAAAATGCAATGCATCAGGAATGCCTTTAAATGATATCATATATAATGACTAAGGTATGATTCTGCTTCTCTATGATGAAATTTAGCATGTAATAAGATATAATAAGAGATTTAGAATTACCTGGTATATATTACATATTTATATGAATGTTAATATGTATCATCAAGTCTTCTGACGTATCAATGTTCACATTATAAAAAAGTTTGATGTAAATACTTTGCCAACATTTATAATGTTTATTTTATTGATATATATATGATGTTTTGTGATATTAACAGAGGCAAAATGGTTGTTTTCTTGTTCTTAATTTGAAAACTGTAAACATTGCTATCTATTTAAATAATCCTCTGAGCATATTTTGTAGTGGAAAATTACATGTATTTTTGTTGTATTACACTTAGAAAAATCAAATAATTAGGCAGGTGCTTACCTGAAAGACACCCGGTGACTGACAGGAACAGAATGAGTTTCCAGGAGGAAGCCATCCTTGGTCACTGGAAGTCTGTGTTCCAGTATGCTTAGCAGCTCTGATGTGTCTTCATTAAAGAGCTTCCTGTCGAGATAGACAACAGTTCTTAGAAACAGAGAAAATAAACAGAAAAGGAAATGCAAATCAAAGCAAAAATCTACTAACTGATAAATAACTTTCATAGCAAAAGTCTGGTGAATATATGGTTGGATATTGACAAAAAATAGTACAGCTTTTGGCAGAATTCATTTGATGCACAACACAAAAACTTTGTATAAGTGATAAACTTTGCCTATCACAATATTTATTTTGAATATCCCCTTACAGATAGTAAAAACATCAAGTTCTAGTGGGGATGGTTTTTTTAACTCACAAAGTATAATAGCTGTATTTATTAGACAAATTATTGGACTAGAAAAATAGGGTAGAGGAGCCAGTTACTTTGATATATACTCCTTTGGTATAGAACACAGCTAACGATCAGTTTGCCAAGTGATTTTACACATTATGCCTGTGGCTCACCAAAACCTCCACAGGGAATTTTCCTCATTTAATTATTAATGTCAACTGCCCTTGCTTATAACTCCTGTGATTATCTGTACTGGATATAGTTCTCCCTTTTGGTGAGTTATTTCTCTCAGCATCTTTTGCTAGCTGGAACCTAAGGGAAATAAGGATTTTAATGAATATTTAATATTTTTGTCTAATGCTATTTTTATAATAAGCAGTGTAGCACATTAATATCCTTTGGTTTCATTTTCCTGAAAGACACAATAAACATAAAATTCTAATAATAAACTTCCTGCAGGATTTTGACAAATATCTAAAGCAAATTCTAATAAAATAATAATGCAGGGGCCAACATTGTGGTCCAGTGCATTAAGCCATCCCAAGCAATGCTGGCTCCTTATTAGAGTGCTGCTTAGGGACCTGGCTGCTCCGTTTCTGAACCAGCTTCCTGCTAATGCACCTGGGAAGGCAGCAGATTTTCCCCACTACTTAGACCACTACTACCCATGTGGGAGATCAGGATGGAGTTCCTAAGCGCTGGCATCAGCCCACCACATCTGGCAGTTGCAGCTCTCTGGGAAGTCTCCATCACTCTGCACTTCAAATAAATAAACCTTAAAAATTCAATAATCCACAAGTAGCTTGAAAATGTTCAGACGTCAGCTATGATCTTGGCTAAATGTGATTCACTTCAGAAACAATGATATAGTGCATCAGTGATTTTTAAATAATCTTTTTGGTAGTTCCTAGTCCTTCCTAATGGACTCAGGGATCTAAGTTATCTCCATATTTTAGGAAACATCTTAAAAATATAAACAAGCACTTTATGCCCCTTGTGGGCTTGTAATTTAATGTAGTCATATCAAAGGAAATGATTTGTTACTAATCTTCTACCTGAAAAATTAATTTTATTTTATTTACATTTTAAAATTAATACTTGGTCTCTTGTAACTTAGATTTCTTCTTCATTAGTGATATTTAACCTAACATTTAGGGGCCAGTGTTATGGCATAATAGGTTAAGCTGCCTCCTACAAGGCTGCTCATTCCATATGGGCGCCGGTTTGAGTCCCGGCTGCTCCACTTCTAATCCAGCTCTCTGCTAAGGCATTTATCAAGACAGCAGAACAAGGCCCAAGTCCTTGGGCCCCTGCACCTACATGGGAGACCTGGATGATGCTCCTGACTCCTAACTTCAGCCTAGCACAGCCCTGGCTGCTGTGGCCTTTTGAGGAGTAAACCAGTGGATTGAAGACCAAGACCCCTTCTAACTCTTTCCTTTAAATAAAATCTTTTTAGAAAGAGAACTCTATCATTTAATGGTTAATTCATAACCACTTCTCAATGCAAAGGATCGTTTTCCTAATCTTTCTTCCTTCCGAGTAAATTTAAGAAATAAATACTATTTGAAGTGTAAATAACCTCTTGACTAATTTTTACAGTTTAAAGCATTTTTATGATTTTTACATTGAGGAAAAAATAGAAAATCAGTACAATAAACCACAGTTAAAGTTGCCAGGATTACAATTATGATTCATGAGAACTGCTAGTGAATTTTTCATCCATTATAAGATCAGCCTTTGTTGACTAGTGAGTTCTTAATGGTAATGCTCATAACATTTGTCTAAAGTTTTTTTGATGAGCTTCAATGCATGCAACCTCTCTATGTACAATACCCTAATGTCTTCTGCTGTCTTTAAAGTGCAAATGTCTTTACAGCATGTATATGCCATACACTGGGAATGATTTAAGGAAAATGCACATGCATGTATGCATACATACATATAGACACACACAGGTATTATTACAGGCAAATAAGCATGATAGAGTAAGTGTAATATTGGTATGGAGTTATCAAATGATAGATTCATGAGGATGGTGAAAGTTGGGACCTTCAGCAAAATTTTTGTCAAGTCATTGGTGATAACTCACATTTAAGTGAGACAGTACTGGGAGACTGGCAATGAACACACGGATTGAAAGGTCAATGGTAAATACAAAATATATGATGAACAACTTAGCAGAGCAACAGTGAGTAACAAGGGATAAGGGACAGCTGTAGTCACTATTCAGATAAGGCATCTCTGATAAGATGCCATACAGTCCATTAGGAAATGTAGTTAGGTGTGTATTTCAGGCAAGTTCTTTCTGTTCTCAAATACAACTGCAACATTATATTTTACCACCAAAAGAATCCATTTAATAATGATATGTTTGATGATTCAGTGAAGCAATATCATAATTACAAACCAAATCATGTTATATCAAACAATTGTTATTCTCTCTCTCTCTCTCTCTCTCTCTATATATATATATATTTAAATACGATAAAACATGAGGTATTTGTCTTTTGGGGTATAGGTTATTTCACTTCACATAACAATTTCCAGTTGCATCCATTTTTTTTTTTTTGGCAAAAGACAGGATCGCATTCCTTTTTGTGGCTGAGTAATATTGTGTGTGTGTATATATATATATATGTGTGTATATGTATGTGTGTGTGTGTGTGTATATAAACACAAACCATATTTTCTTGATCAAGTCATCAGTTTGACATTCTGGGATGATTCCATATCTTAAATATTATGACCTCAGCTTCTATGAACAAGGAGGTATAGGTAACTACTTCATTTTATTTGGATGTATTAACAGGAATAGGATAGCTAGATCATATGATAGATGTATTCTTAGTTTTCTGAGGATTCGCCATACTGTTTTCCATAATGGTTGTACCAATTTGCATTCTAGCAACAGTGTATTTGAGTATCTTTGTCTCAATTTCCTCTCCAACATTTGTTATTTTTGATTTTTGGCTAATAGTCATTTTGACTACAGTGAGGTGATACTTCATTGTGGTTTTTATTTGCATTTCCTTTACCTCAAACAGCCAAAACAAACTTAAACAATAAAATCAAAGTTAGAGACATTGCAATACCAGATTTCAAGACATACTACATGACTATTTTAATCAAAACAGCCTGATACTGGCATAAAAACAGAAATGGAGAACAATGAAATATGAAAGAAACACCAGAAATTAATTCATGCATCAACAACCAACTAATCTTTGAGACATGAGCTAAAGTCTCTCCCTGGAGAAAGTGCTGAGAAAACTGGATTTCCGCATGCAGAAGCTTGAAATTAGACCACAACTTTATATTCTATAAAAAATTCTGTGGTGGAATGAGAAGGTGAGAAGGTCATGCCAAGATGGCCACTGACAAAAGAAACTGCCTGGAACAGGCCATGATTGGATGGCTTCAGAAACCACATGACAACAGAGCCTGACTGAAAACAGGCTGTGATTGGATGGCTTTGGAAACTGCCTGGCAACAGGCTGTGATTGGTTAGGGCATAGACCGCCCCTTGACTAGATTGACTGCCTTGGCTATATAAGCAGCTGTAGCAACAGAAATAAATCAGTCTGCAGGCTGCTTGCCTCAGACCTGCTTTCACCTGACTCCCGGGGTCTGTGTGGTGACTCCTCACCTCTTACCCCCACCACGCTCTTCCTCTCAGAAACAAATCCACCGCAACAAAATTCAGCATACAATGGATTATTGATCTAAATTTAAGACATAAAACAATCAAATTACATAGGCAAACATAGGGGAAACACTGCAAGACACTGGTCTAGGGCAAGACTTTTTAGTAAAGAACAAACAAGCCTAAGAAATAAAAACAAACATAGGCAAATGCAATTACATCATGCTGAGAAGCTTCTGCACAGCAAAGGAAGGAATTAGTGCACTGAAGAGGAAACAGATGGAATGTGATAGAATATTTGCCAACTGTGTATACAACAAGGGATTAATATTTAGAGAATAGGCTGGCGCCACGGCTCACTAGGCTAATCCTCTGCCTGTGGTGCCAGTACCCTGGGTTCTAGTCCTGGTTGGGGCTCCGGATTCTGTCCCACTTGCTCCTCTTCCAGTCCAGCTCTCTGCTGTGGCCCAGGAAGGCAGTGGAGGATGGCCCAAGTGCTTGGGCCCCTGCACCCGCATGGGAGACCAGGAGGAAGCACCTGGCTCCCGGCTTCGGATCGGCACTGTGTCCCGGCCACAGCGGCCATTTGGGGGAGTGAACCGATGGAAGAAAGACCTTTCTCTCTGTCTCTCTCACTGTCTAACTCTGCCTGTCAAAAAAAAAAAAATATTCAGACTACTTATGGAGCTCAAGAAACTTAACAACAGCAACACAAAAAATACAGTTAATGGGGCTGGCGCTGTAGCACAGTGGGTTAATGCCCTGACCTGAAGTGCCAGCATCCCATAAGGGCGCCAGTTCGAGACCCAGCTGCTCCACTTCCAATCCAGCTCTCTGCTATAGCCTGGGAAGGCAGTAGAAGATGGCCCAGATCCTTGGACCCTTGTACCCGTGTGGGAGACCCAAAGGAAGCTCTCAGCTCCTCACTTTGGATTGGTGCAGCTCCAGCCATTGTGGCCAACTGGGGAGAGAACCATCAGATGGAAGACCTCTATTTGCCTCTCCTCTCTCTGTAACTCTGAATTTCAAATAAATAAATTTTTAAAAATCCAGCTAAGAAAGGGGCAAAGAATACGAAGAGGTATTTTT